AAGGGCTGAGACGGAAAGGCTCTTGCTTGACTTGGCACTGAAATGTTACTCACTCACACTGTTTGACAAAACAATGAAAATCTACAAAGTGTAACTGTCAAATTCAAAAGCGCCCTTAAAAAACTTGACGACCGCAAAAGTTTGGGTACTCTACTATCGAATAACCGTACTCGTTAAACAATTTATTCAAGCTGAAATGATGAGAAATTCACTTCTTCTATGCGAAAAGTTTGGAACATTTCTATCGACATTTTTTGGCCCATTAGGGTACTGCACACCCAAATTTGCAATTAAAAAACCGTGAAATGCTCGGATTTTTTTTCAGTTTTTGCTCTATGAGTCACACCCTGTGTTTTTCACCCTTTCTCAGAATCTTGGTACCTGCTCCTACCTGAACCATTGTTATCTCCTAAACTATGCATTTTTCGGCGAAAGACACTATCTACGTTTTTGAAGAGCATTATATGTGTGATAATTTAGGCCAAACCGGAACGCGTTTATGACAAACCCTATATAATTAAAATTATTACTGCCTAGTAGGCATTGCAGAACACCAAAACTTTTGCATAACACTCATTTTGATATCTTGTATGTTTTCCTCGATAATCGACCGTTTCCAGACTTATCTGCGACCCCGTATAGAGAATGAATATCCTATTGTTTATGGTTTTATTGTGTGACGACATTCATTATCAGTGACTGGGACCAAAACCCGTGTTTCTAACTGGTACCTTTATTCAACAAACTGATATAACAACAAAGTCTTAATAAAACATCTAAAAAATAATGGGCTCTGGAGGCATAGTCAGATAGGCATAATGAAGTTTAGCTAAATGTTCTGCTTTAGCCTGTGCAACCTCTGGAGTATCTTGAACGGGAACTGGAATATCGTTACCGAATACGTTGAATCCATCAACACCTGACGTGAACTGTCTAGATCTGACAATACCGTAGGGATCAACGTAAGAGAAAGCTCCCGCGACGTTTCCATAAATGTCTCTGTGCTCCACTCTGGAAATTCCGGGTATGTCGTATCTTAAATTGTAATTGCCGAGTGTGTCTTGAGACACCGCAACGTTTGCTCCTAAAGATTGAGCCGAAGATACGGCGAAGAGTGTTACAATTAAAACCTGGGGAATATATAATAAGCTGTTTATTGTACAAGTTTCTAGGAGACTTACCAAGAACTGCATTTTGCTGCACGAAGCGAACTGTATTAATTTGGCAACATATTTTTTTGCATTTATATACCTACCGATTTAAGTAAAAGTAGCGTCGGTTACCTTAAACTAATTGTCAATTAGTGTTAAGTGCTTCGATCAAAATAGTAGATAACATTGCAAGAATATTTTATGTAGCAATTGTTTGGGTTATAGGGTCAAATGACAAGCTGGGAAACATGAGTAACGCACACAAAAGAGGTAGTACGTTCCCTGCACATCCAGGAAAATGTTGTTAGAAAATTCTGGAATCCCGTTTATACGTAATTGCTAGTTCATGTTTCGCTAATGCATTCGGTAACAAACTTAGAGCAACATAATATCATTTGCGTTTCCCACGATCCGTTTTACAAGGAAGTACATTAGAATGAAACGATAATGAAACTCGAAGGAAACGATTTCATTTGCATTTTACACGTTTCTTAAAACACCTTTATTGATTATTTTTTGTCGTTTATACACTATGCCAAAAACCGCATTTCGATATAAACTGATCGCAAAAATTATCCCTGGTCTAGAAGGAAAATGATAGGGTCTTGGAGTTCCTTTAGGATTGCCTTCTTCATTCTTAGGTCGTGTGTGTTACTGAATGAATTATAAGCAATAAAGCTGTTCCGACTATTGTTACTTAGTAGCGCCTTTTTCCTCAATTAAACAGCATTTGGGAAATTTCCATGAAGAGTTAGATTTCTTGTTAAAATTAGATACGTTCTCCAAATATTCTCCAGTATTCAGTTACTTCCGTTTCCTTCCATTTCCCATGTATTTCAGTAGCGTCATTGATTACGCATTGATGTAGGCAGTACATTCAAAAGTGCTCACATTGACGTTTAATTTGATCGGTAACGCGTTCCTGTTAAATCTCTGTAATTATAAAGATTATAACGTGCCACGCCGATGTAAGAAATGTATAGGATTCTCAAAGGAATGGAGTCATAGAAAAACTTCTCAAAAAAGCACAGTTTGTAGCACAAATACCTTATACTATGCGATCAAAAAAGAGTTGCTGTAGAGTCATCTTTGGAATTGTTGTTTACATGGAATAGCTATTTATAGTATATCAAAAGAGCAAAGTGTATGACTTCCTCCCGCCTCCTGCCCATTGGCCAAGAGAGGAAAAGAGCTATTAGATCTCATCGAGAATAAAGCTCTTTGCATTTTAAATAACGACTCCTCTACTTACTTTAACATAAGATCAGGCACTTTTGACACCATTGATCTGTATATACCTATGTTCTCCGTCTCTATACACTGAATTGAAATGGGAAGTGGAAAATGATCTATTTAATAGTGACCACTTTCCCATAATCTTGACTTTTCGAGGTGACAACATTCCTGCAATAAGATCTACAGCGAAATTCAGAATCCAACAAGCAGATTGGGAATATTTTACTCAACAACTATGTCCTCCTCCAAATGATGACAAGCTAAACCTGGTGAATATCACATCCCCATTTTGGAAGCTGCAAATAAAAGTATATAATACCTATGTCAAAGGCTAGAGAGATCACTAGATCTGTCCCATGGTGGTCATCTGTAATAAAAGAAAAAATAGCAATTAAAAAAGGGCATTAAACAAGTTCCAACGTAATCCTTCCCTGGATAAACTGATAATCTTTAAAAAACGCAGAGCTGAATGTCGTCGGGAAATTCTTCAGACACAAAGAAGGTCGTGGCAACACTATGTATCCACCATAACGACGGACGTGACTATGAGTGAAATATGGAAGAAGGTGGGTGCGATATCTGGCAAATCTAAACTCAACTATCCGGCATTCCTTCGGAAAAACGATGGGGTGGTTACGAAAGATTTACAAGAAATTTCGAACCTCTTGGCAGATGATTTCTATCAGGTCAGTAGTTCGTTAAACTATTCAGCGTTTTTCCTTGAGACTAAAGCTGAAAAGGAAGAGGAAATCATTAACTTCAATACGGATGAGAATCTTCAATACAACTTACCTTTTCGTATGGATGAATTAGAATCTGCACTTAAAATCACGAAATCCTGCGCTCCCGGTCACGATAGTATCCACAATCAAATGCTTCGTCATTGTAGCAACCCGATGAAACAAGTGATTTTAGATTTCTTTAATTTTTGTTGGGAAAATAGTATCTACCCTGATGAGTGGAAACCGGCCATAGTCGTTCCCATACTTAAAACTGGGAAAGATCCGCTGTTGACGCAGCACTACCGTCCAATTAGTTTGACTTCATGCCTAGGCAAGCTCTTGGAAAAAATTGTTGATGGGAGATTGCGGGCCTTTCTGGAAGAAAACGATCATCGTCCCCTATCAGGCCGGTTTTCGGAGGGGTCGGTCGACGGTCGACCATTTGATTAAATTACCTGATAACATTTTAAAGTCGTTTGATGGTGGCGAGCATTTCATTGGGGTCTTCTTTGATATCAAGAGCGCATATGACATGACATGGCGATATGGTATACTTAAAAAAATGTTTGAATACAATTTACGCGGAAACATGCCCAAATTTATTAGATCTTTTTTAAGAGACAGAAAGTTTATTGTTAGAATTGGAGAGGCGTATTCAAACGAGCGCGTATTAGAAAACGGGGTCCCACAGGGCTCGACTTTAAGCTGTTCACCGTTTGCAATTGCCATAAACGGAATAGCCCTGGGTGTTGCCGACACAGTCGATAAATCCCTATACGTCGATGACTTAATGATTCATTGCGCCGGAAAGACCGTTGGTTCCGCTGTGCGTATACTGTAAATGGCTATCAATAAAATTTCTGATCATGCGGATGCAGTGGGATACGCTTTATCTGAGGAAAAGACGAAGGTGGTTCATTTTTGTCGACTCCGAAGACCACACTATGACCCCGTTCTATTTATGAAAGACCGTCCCAAGATATGAAATTTTTGGGACTTGCCTTTGACAGGGAGCTGCGGTAGTCCAAGCATCTACAGAATGTTGTAACAAAGTGTAGGAAATCGTTAAATGTTATTAGGGTCCTGGCCCACCATAAGTGGGGAACTCACCCAAAGACGTTACTCGACGTAATTTTATCGAGAATTGATTATGGGTGGGGGAATATGCATGTAATTTTTTAATTTTTTAATCGCTTTTTTACATCGTCCTAACATAGTAAAAAGTGTAAACACTGTTAGAACAATTCAATTTAACTTGTAAAATAATATTTAAAACGTTGTTGAGTTATTTATACAGATTTTCAGTTGTAATAGCTATTCAGACCATGGAAAAAGCTAAAAAACCATTTTATAGGTATTGTCTTGTACAAAAGTGCACAAACACTATTAGAAATATTCCCGATAAAGTGTTTTTTGCAGTTCCAAGAGGACGACTTCCAGAGCGTTCTCCATTTTTTTACGGTTAGTGAACCCTAAAACAACCTTTTTCAACAATTGTGCCGTTGATTCTTGCAAATCGACGGACTGTGCAATTTTTTTTTTAAAATCCGAAGAATTTTCTTAGTTAATAAATGGAATAATCTCCAAAATACTACCAAAAATGTAAATCTATAGTAGGCGAATGGAAAGCTCTCGGAAAGACCTACATAAAAAAAAATACGTCCAAATCCGAGTTCACGAGAAATCGGCTTTTGACTTCGGACTTATTTTCGACATAACCAAAAATGATTTTGCAAATCGGGTCGCATCGAACGATTGTTTAAAGCGTGAACTTTTTTATGCTTCTATTTGACCAAAATGTATGATTTTTATTAATCAGAGCACCAAGGGCCTATTATAGAGTTACCTTCCTTGTTATATTTCGGGAGTTATTCCATTTGTTAGTCAACTAAAAAAATTCCACAGTCCATCAATTTGCAAGAGTCATCGGGACAATTTTTGGAAATGATTGTCTTAGGATTCCACCATATGTAAAAAAATTTTGAACGCTCAGGGAGTCATCCATTTTGAAAGACCTTAGTATCGTTTTGTAAATTTGTTTATTTAATGATGCAATGACTATAAAATCTACGTAGATCGAGTTTGTCATATGGTTTTGTTATCAAAAGCAGTGGCCAAATAGGGATTTTCAAAAAGATCGGATGAATTTTACTTAGTAATAAACAATTGATAATCTTCGCGATTGCTTTTTTATATTTTTCCATAAAAAACAATAACATTTGAAAATGAACGTTTAATACTGTATCTTATAGAAAATTCAATTCTAAACAAATTCATTTCTCTTCATTTTTTCCCTTAGAGCAATAGTTAACGAGATAATTCAAATGCGAAAAGAAACGACATTTTGCCATTTTTTCTTCGTTTTTTGTTTATACATAACAATATATTCCCGGAGTCTTCAGCTAGGGGGACTATGATTTTCAGATTCAGCGGATCTTTTTACATATACTACACTTGATTTCGTTGAGTGGAATAACAACACCCAGTCCAATTTGCCTAAACCGTAATTTGACTGGACTAAGTACTTATGAATATAATTGACACAATAAATGCGATCGCGTGGCATTTGACGTCACTTTCATTCGTCCAATAGTGATGCCTTTCGCAAATTTGAATTTCGTTTGCTTATTTTGCTCTTTTGAATTAACATTTTGCAATTAAAAACTACTTAAATAAGAAAGTAATGGTTTAAGTATAATGCCTTAATATACGCGGGAGAAAGAATCAAGTAAATTTAAACCGCATGCATATTCCCTATTCGACCACTAAGGGCCGATTCTACATTACAGGTATATACCGAGAAAAAGCTATACCTAGAATAAACGTCGATGGTTGCGTTGGTTACCATTCCGTGAACCAATAGGATACCTGTCGCTATGGCAGTTATTCTAAGAATATCTTATTCTGGGAATAAGTTTGTAGAACCGGCCCTAAAAACAGGGTACTTACCTTAACGACGCAACGCTTGGAGATACTTCGTTAAAAGACATCAACTTATCCGCGATCGCCCACTGTCATCTAGCAACCGGCTGTCAATACTAACAATTGACAAATAATTTCCAAGTTTTCAAATGTGCATTTAAA